CATTCATAGCGCATGTGTCTGTGACGTCATCGTCTGCATCCAGTGTGAATATCTCCTAAACGGTGCAAGTTTAGGAGATATCCACTGTACCTATATGGAAGCCTTATTATCTGTACAGTTGTCTGTAGGTACAACTTTACTACCTCTTCAATAAATAGCCCCCTTTTTTTGTATATCCCACTAAAGCTGGCCATACACTAGAATTTCATTCAAACGTTTTCATTTTAAGACCATTTGTTTGATTTTCTAATCATTACAAGAATTTGTTTTTGATTGCAGTGACAAGAAAATTCAAAGAAGCAGAGTGGAAATGTTTTCTTGAATGAACAGATTTCTAATAATGTATGTGGTTTTCGTTTGGTAAAGCCTACTCATTCCAAAATCGACTGTTAAAAGCAAACCAAATTTTGAAGTGCAAACGACATTCGTCAAGTCATTGGATGTACTGAAAATTTTCGTAAAATTTTGAAGTTCAAGTGACATTTGTCGAGTTATTGAATGTACTGAAAATTTTCATACAAATTTTGAAGTTCAAACGACATTCGTCAAGTCATTGGATGTACTGAAAATTTTCGTAAAATTTTGAAGTTCAAACGACATTCGTCAAGTCATTGGATGTACTGAAAATTTTCGTAAAATTTTGAAGTTCAAACGACATTCGTCAAGTCATTGGATGTACAGAAAATTTTCGTAAAACGTTTTGAAGTTCAAATGACATTTGTCAAGTCAACTGAAAATATTCAGTTTGACATTCGTCAAGTCATTGGTACTGAAAATTTTCGTAAAATTTTGAAGTTCAAACGACATTTGTCAAGTCATTGGATGTACAGAAAATTTTTACAGTTCTGAAGTTCAAATGACATTCGTCAAGTCATTGAATGTACTGAAAATTTTCGTTTTTGAAGTTCAAACGACATTTGTCAAGTCATTGGATGTACTGAAAAATTTTTAAGTTCAAACGACATTCGTCAAGTCATTGGATGTACTGAAAATTTTTAAGTTCAAACGACATTTGTCAAGTCATTGGATGTACAGAAAATTTTCATACACGTTTTGAAGTTCAAATGACATTCGTCAAGTCATTGGATGTACTGAAAATTTTCGTAAAATTTTGAAGTTCAAACGACATTCGTCAAGTCATTGGATGTACTGAAAATTTTGAAGTTCAAACGACATTTGTCAAGTCATTGGATGTACAGAAAATTTTCGTACACGTTTTGAAGTTCAAACGACATTCGTCAAGTCATTGGATGTACTGAAAATTTTCGTAAAATTTTGAAGTTCAAACGACATTCGTCAAGTCATTGGATGTACTGAAAATTTTCGTACACGTTTGAAGTTCAAATGACATTCGTCGACTCATTGAATGTACTGCAAATTTTCGTAAAATTTTGAAGTTCAAACAACATTCGTCAAGTCATTGGATGTACTGAAAATTTTCGTACAAATTTTGAAGTTCAAACGACATTCGTAGAGTCATCGGATTTACTGAAAATTTTCGTACAAGTTTTTGTACAAACATTCGCTGAAAATCCACTAGTGTATGGCCAGCATTACAGCACGAACCAGTCATCAAAAACTTTATTATTGACTTAAACGGTCATTAAGTACATATCTGGTGCTAGGAGATAATCGTTTGCTTTCTACTAAATCCTTTGTATGAAAAAGGCTTCGTAAAAACACAAGGTCATAAAATGAGTAGAAAAACAAGTGAGGGCAAAGCTGCATCTGAAAGAATTCCTGCAATCCTTTGCCTTCTGCCTGGTGGCTACGAAAACCTGATCCATCTTTTGTCATGTAAAATGAGAGAGGCTGAGAGTGACTCTAGGCCAACCCTAACTGCCTGCCTGTCCCTCATGAAGATTAAGGCCCTCCATTGAGGACGTGCTGGTAGTCACATCCACAAGTCACTCAGGAATCCAGACAAACATCTCATTTAGCACAGTATTATTATGGGGTCAGACTAAATGTTGGATGTAGATTGGATGCAGCTGCCTGTTGTAAACATTCTACAGGTTGACCAACGCCTCTGTGCTCCCTCACAATGGCCCACTTTTCTTCCATTATTTTGTCCGTTCGGAGATCTAAGCCCAATCACTAATAAGTGCTTTAACAAGTTAATTTAAAATTTTCTTTCAATATTTCTGAATCTGCAACTTTCAATAAAATAGTATCTGATAACCCTGCCATGAAGAACACTTCTTGTTATAAGGTGACAACAGTCTCTAAATGGCGCTCCTGTGTTGTCACCCTGTCACCTGTGCTTTAGTTGAGTAAAGCCTCGTACACACAATGAGAATATTGGATGAATGATTGTCTGTTTTTTTTTTTTTGCATGCTAGTTTCATAGAGAAAATTAAGAGGTTACTAAAGTCACGGAAATTCTTGTATGACAGAATACAACTTCGGAAGTGATGTAACGTATTGTATTGTAATGTATTGTTTTGGTTCCGAGCAGATGCGGGTTTGGTCACTCAATTTTTTTTCAGACAAATACTGTACTGATTAAACGAAAATCGTTCGTTCTGGAATTGTACGAGAAACATTTTCATACTTGTCCCTTTAGCCCTGGTTCACACTGATGTGGTGTGGAATTTGTAGCGTTTTCAGTGTGAATTCCGCACTGCATTATAATTGCACCCCGTTCATGCGAACCACTGCAGGTGTGTATGTTAAGTCAACAAAACCCCGAAAGCGGTCCGCATAACGCGGTGCGATGTGCAGAATCGGATTGCATAGGTGTGAATACCCATGCGATCTGATTCTAGTGCGGACCCAAAAAAGGGTCCTGCACGTTTTTGGTGTGGTGCGAATAGAGCCATACAAAATGTATGGCTCCGATCGCACCGCACACAAATCGCATCACATAGGTATCCACACCTATGCGATCCGATTCTAGTGCGGACCCAAAAAAGGGTCCTGCACATTTTTGGTGCGGTGCGAATAGAGCCATACAAAATGTATGGTTCCAATCGCACCGCACACAAATCGCATGTGATTTGCACAGGAATGCGGTGCGGTTCCTGTGCGAATCACATGTGATATACGGAGCCGCACGTATGTGAACCCGGGCTCAGATAGTTTCACATGAACTCTTGCGATCAGCTCTTGAAAGCTGTGTACTAACGATGAGATTATCGGATGATCGCCCTGAATGTGGTATTTTGCGTCCGTTGCGTCTGATTTTCTCATTGTGTGTACTAGGCTTTGTGTTATACTGTTATGTTGCTTTTGGAACTGTCATCCAGGGAAGGTTTTTTCTTGAAGTTAAAGCTGAACTCTGGCCTTCCCTTTTTCATTTCCTGACTGGAGGACATCCAACTTCATCTAGTGTTTTCCTCCCTAGCCTAGCTCTGGCCCACCCCTTTCATTCATTGGACTTCAGTTCTCCAATCATGGAGTCTCAGCATTGCATGTGGCGTTACCTAGGGTGGTCTGCATGCAAATACAGCCTTGCCTTAGAATGCCCACTAACCCAGACTGACATCCACCAATCAAGACATTTAGATATTGGCATAACTCCACCCAAGAGTCAGCCCACTATTTACATCAGGACAGATGGCTCAGATGAAGGGTCCTGTTATTTTTCCAGGTAGTTATGTACAGCTCCCTGCTGGCCCCCTGGAGCCATAACACTGAAATATGCTTGCTCCATATAATTAACCCCTAGACGCCGAGCGCACACAAATATGCGGTCTCGGCGGCTGGGCCTTGCTGCCGAGCGGCCACATATTTGCATACCATTTGAAAATACATATGTGCTGAGAGCGAGCACCCTGCGCACTCCCAACACATATGTCCGTGACTCATGGAAATGTCCTGATCTCCCCTAGCGATCGGGACCTTTTCTGATCATGTGACTGCCGTAACAGTGAATCACGGCGGTCACATGACCCTAAAATGCCACCCCGCCTCTTGGCTTTTGAAACCTTTTTAAAGGGCCGGGAGGCGCCGGCACCAAGGGGTTAAGTTGACGAGTCTTCACACTGATCCACTGCGGTTTGACCGCAGCACAGTGTACCAGCGGTTTTTGTGTTTTTCAGAAAACGCACAAAAAAAACTTCTGCTGTAATAGAAATCTGAGGCAAAGCATGGCTAAATCCTATGAAAACTATGGGTACACTGTGCTGCATCCGTGCTGCAAGGAGACCTCAGCAGATTAGTGTGAATCCGCCCTAATTGGATGATATTTTCTTTGTAAAAGCATTGTGTATCAAACAACCGCCATGTTTTCTTCATAAAATCCTTTATACACATTTTTGTCTTTTTTTGTTTCAGTACTGATGATCTCCCGCCCTCCTACAGCTACATAAAGTGGAACTTCACTCTCTCAACCAACATTGACTATTTGAATCCTTATGCTGCTAGCATTAGTAAATAGATAGGAAAGTATATCATGTTTACTTGTTTAAAACGGTTTTTAACATCTCTTCAGTTACTTCCTAATTTTCAGGCCTAGGCAAACTATGTCATACATCCCAGGAGTCTTCAGGAGGTTAGGAGGGGTTTTCTCAGCTAAGCACACCCTCCTGTCCGCGTGCCTAAGCTAAGGGCAAACGGATTCCAGGAAGTAAATGCTACATGAATCATCTGCCCTTACCCAAGATGGCCACTGCCAGAAATGCTGGGGGGGGGGGGGGGGGTTCAAAGTAATTCCTCAGCAAAATAAAGCATGGAGATATGGAATAAGCTGCAGATTTAAAAAGATTGAAAAATACTTCTGAAATTACACAGACAAGTTACAGTTCTATCAGTTTTTAGCAACTAGTATTTCCAGAGGGGAAGCCATGGCAGGCTCCATGTCTCATATACACTATATTGCCAAACGTATTGGGACTCCCCTCCCAATCATTGGATTCAGGTGTTCCAATCACCTCCATAGCCATGAGTGTATAAAATCATCACCTAGACATGAGACTGCTTCTACAAACATTGGTGAAAGAATGGGTCGCTCTCAGGAGCTCAGTGACACCAAGCGTGGTCCCGTGATAGGTTGTCACCTGTACAATAAGTCCATCCCTGACATTTCCTGGCTACTAAATATTCCACGCTCAACGGTTAGTGGTAATATAACAAAGTGGAAGCAACTGGGAACAACAGCAACTCAGCCACGAAGTGGTAGGCCACGGAAAATGACAGAGCGGGGTCAGTGCATGCTGAAGCGCACAGTGCGCATATGTTGCCAACTGTCTGCAGAGTAAATAGGTAAAGACCTCCAAACTTGGTGTGTCCTTCAGATTAGTACAACAACAGTGTGTAGAGAGCTTCATGGAATGGGTTTTCCATGGCCGAGCAGCTGTATCCAAGCCTTATATCACCAAGTGCAATGCAAAGCGTTGGATGCAGTGGTGTAAAGCATGCCGCCACTGGACTCTAGAGCAGTGCAGACGTGTTCACACGCAATCACACTTCTCTGTCTGGTAATCCGATGGAATGTGTCTGGGTTTGGCGGTTGCCAGGAGAACGGTACTTGCCTGACTGCATTGTGCAAAGTGTAAAGTTTGTGGTGGAGGGGGGATTATGGTGTGGGGCTGTTTTTCAGGGGTTGGGCTTGGCCCCCTAGTTCCAGTGAAGGGAGCTCTTAAGGCGTCAGCATACCAAGACATTTTGGACAATTTCATGCTCCCAACTTTGTGGGAACAGTTTGGGGATGGCCCCTTCCTGTTCCAACATGACTGCACACCAGTGTACAAAGCAAGGTCCATAAAGACATGGAGGAGCCAGTTTGGGGTGGAGGAACTTGACTGGCCTGCACAGAGTCCTGACCTCAACCCCATAGAACACCTTTGGGATGAATTAGAGCGGAGACTGTGAGCCAGGCCTCCTCCCCCGACATCAGAGCCTGACCTCACAAATGTTCTTCTGGAAGAATGGTCAAACCTTTCCATAGACACCCTTCTAAACCTTGTGGATGGCCTTCCCAGAAGAGTTGAAGCTGTTATAGCTGCAAAGGGCGGGGCCAACTCAATATTGAACCCTACGGACTAAGACTGGGATGCCACTAAAGTTCACGATCGTGTAAAAGCAGGCCTACCAATACTTTTGGCAATATAGTGTATGTAGGGTTGTCTCTGGAAACCATTGCAGAAAGCCAACTATTCAGCAGGAACACCGCCATAATCATTATCTCACTCAAGGTCTCCCAGCTTCAGAACGTAAACACGCCGTCTAGACCGCACCCTATGGAGTTATGTGGATACTGGATAACATGCTACACAATTCTAGTAATATATTATACAGGAGTAAATATACATAAAGGAACAACCGTGACACTGGATTATGATTAATTATCTACCTTGTTCATTTACTTTCCCATATTATGGCGGTTCTGCGGAACATGTTATTATGCAATAGATTTCTGTCTATGCAGAGAACAATACACCATATCCACCCCTCCTCCGCTCAAACAAAACTGTATTCCTGGTACAGTAATACTGGCTAAAAAACAAATGCTCACTAATGATATAGGCCTAGTTTCAGATGTCCTAAAGATACAATGAACCTAGTGAAGCTGTTCACATTTGTACATTGCGATGTTAAAAATTATGTTGTGCTTTTTTATTTCTTTTTCAACTTGTTGTAGGTGAGCTCATGGCAGATTGTCATCCTATGGTTACAAGCACCTCCCCTGAATACCTACCATGTGCTTAACCGCAATTAACCTGCCATGCATGGTGAGCTCAGGCGTGCTCAGATCCCAGTCTCAACTGACCTGACCCAAGTATATGTAGCACTTGGTCCTGTTTGGATCTGTCTTGCCATTGCCAAGCAGCATGGTCCATTAGGATACCCACCACTTTCCAACCACGCTGCTAGCAGGAAGACAGAATTGTGAGTGATGGTGTCTGGCAGCAGGGTTGGTTTGGAGACTAGCACTGCCATTCAACAGATCATTCAGCGCTGTGGGGTTAAAGTGGAACTCCACCTAAAAGGGGAAACTCTGCTTGTTTGCCTCCTCCCCACCTCCACTGTCACATTTTGCACTTTTTGGGAGGGAGGAGTAGGTACCTGGTTTTGACAGGTACTGTCTCCCACTTCCAATCAGATGCACCGCAGTGGTCTGAGCTGGAATTTCAGGCCCCCTTCTTCCTCTGCAGCCTTCTGAGACATTTCACAGGCCCCAGAAAACTGCAGAACCATTCATAAAGTGCAGTGCATGTGCAGTAGGAAGCCGGCTAAGAAGCTGCAAGGCTTCACTTCAGTTTCCCTTACTGAAGATGCCAGCTTCTGCACCCGAAGACGACTGAAGAATCGGCTCAGGTGAGGACATCGTTGGAGCCCTGAACAGATAAGTGTCCTTATATTAAAAGACATCAGTTACAGTATTGATAGCTGCTGACTTTTAATTTTTTGGGGGGAGCCTGGAGCCCCGCTTTAAGTGATTTGTCTGGAGCGGATTGTAAATACAAAGCCCCGGCAGATGGATCACATAGCCCCGCAGTGCTTATGAATGAAGAAGCAGTGCTGTCGGGGTTGTGTGATAGAATTGCCGGTGCCCTGTATGTTTAATCGTAGTTATATCACACAACCCCGATGTGCTGATTGTTGATAGATACAGAAGTTTGAGCTGTGTATGGCCAGCATAAATCATGAGGCTGAACTCTAGGCAGACACATAAAAACACTACAAAAGGAGACCGCAGATAGAAGGAGAAAGCAGAGCTGGTTCATCAGCCTGGTCCTTAACTGTCCAACCACAGGATAGGGAGGTAACCCAGCTATGGTATTACCTATAATAATTTATAGTCAGGTCAACAACCTGGTTGGGTTCAATGGCAGGTCTGTGTATATCTCAGGACTGTATGGACAGAACTAATCAGAGTATGTATATATTTGCCTGATTTTAAGCTTTAACCCACCCAATGCTTTAGCCTCGGCTCCTTTAACACAAGGCAGGCTTTGTTATGATCAGTAGGGGATCTGTCCATTGACCACCTGCTGATCAGAGCAGAGTGGACATATGACAGGTGCATGTCCACTCAGTTTCTGCGCAGCAGACACAGACACAGCCAGCTTTGCTCTATAGGCATCCAGGTGTAAATGGACTCCACTATCCGTTTACACCTGACTGCCCTCTGATCCGATCTGCCAAGATAGTGGGGGGATGTATCCGCTTCTGTGGTTTGTTTTTGTTTTTTTTTAGTGGACCAAATTATAATGAGGTAGACAGGTGTAAACGGACACAAATCCGTTTGCACCTCCAGTCCCTATAAGTGAATGGAGGGTCTGATCAGGTCTGCTGAAACACTATCAGGCGGACCTGATCAGACCCTTCATGTGAAAGGGGCCTTACCCTTAAAACATGCTTTTATTGTTCACCCTCCCTTTAACACTTGACACCTAAAAATACTGAGTCTTTGTACTTTTGTACAAAAACTGTAGCTGCTGACTTTTAAAAAACAGCCACTTTCCTGTCCCTTGGTGTGTCCCCCGCAGCCCGTTTCACCAGCCGTCCTGTATTCCAGGAGGCCGGCATTTTCAGTGTGGGTACCCGGCAGTGATAGCTTGGGGCTGGGTACCCACTGCGCATGCGCGAGTAGCGCTGTGCTTCATGAATTGTCCTGTAGTCTTCTGGGACCGGTCACGTGTCCCAAAAGACTACAGGGATAGAGGAAGGACACCTTCCGTTTCCGATCGTCTAGGCGATCGGACCGGAAGTGGGAGCGGGTACCTGCCAAATTCAGGTACCCACCCCCCAAAGGTGCCAATCCTTAATGGGGAGCGGGGGAGCAGTCCTTAAAGCGGAATTTCCCCTGTTGGGTGGAGCTCCGCTTTAACACTTTTTACACAACACAGAATTTTCAGTTTAGGCGGCAGCTGGTCACTGGGGTACCAAGAAAATGTATCAACAAAAAACTGGAAATATCACATTCTAGGAATAGACAAACGTTAATATGTAATCTCAGTTTTATAATGGAATATTTTGTGCCTTTCATTCTATCCCCACCAATAAGCTCTCTTCTATGTGTATTGACATGCTGTACAAAGTTCAGTGGTGCCTTGAAAAGACAGCTACAGACCCTCCCTGGAAGTGATAAGGAACAAGGAGTGTTGTGTTCACATACTGGAGCTATAACCTTTCATTGACTTACTGTTGAACATCAACACTTGTACACACCACCCCCTATGAGCCTCAGGCATGCTGTGCGATAATAACACTGCTCCGTCCACCTGTCCATCTCCTGAAAACCTAGGCTGGCCATAATCAGCTCGAATTTCTGTGAATTTGCCTCAATTTGAGCCATGGGTGGCCCTGTTGGCACCATTCAGCTAAACCAGGTCAATTTAAAAATGGAATGAGCTGGGCGGGGAAATTCACAGCCAAACAGTAACTGCATCTTGTCAAATGCAGACACTGTTCAGGTATTAAGGCAGTGGCGGTTGTCATGGTTGACTGAATACAATAGCTGGCTGTTTAGTGTGATGGGGAAATCGTGTGATTTCCCGCAGGCTGAGTGAGATACATCTAAATGTGTATATGTGTATGGTTCAGTCCCGTATAGCACAAATTCCAGTCCACATGCAAGTGGTTAAAAAACTTAAACATTTTTTACCTTAATGCATTCCTTGCAAAGAGGTAAAAAATGATCAGGGATCAGCATCCCCCCTCACCCCCCGCCCCCCCATTTACATACCGGAGCCCTCGTTCGAGGGCTTCCACTGCTGTCAATTTAAAGCCAGTGATAAGGGAGCGGGGGGCAGGGCTGAATCCCACTGTCTGTCAATGGACACCGATAGCAGGGCTCGGGAGCGAGCCCACACAACTGCCCCCTTAGGAAGCGGCTTCCTATGGGGGCAATGGACAGAGAGGAGAAGCCAGGAGCACTGGAGGGGGACCTGAAAAGAAGAGGAGGTTCCATTGCACAAAGCAGGTAAGTATGAACCGGTTTGCGATTTAAAAAAAAATATATATATTTACACTCTTAGATTGTAAGCTCCGAGGATCAGGGCCCTCCTATCCCTCTTGTATTGAACTGTATTGTTGCTGTATTGTCTCCGTTATATTGTAAAGCGCTGAGCAAACTGTTGGCGCTATATAAATCCTGTATAATAATAATGACAATAATTTAAAGTGGAACTAAATATAATAAACATTGCAAACAGGTCAGGCTTTTTATTGCAGAAGAGACATGCAACGCCATAAAATACACTTACCTGCCTATTCGCAATCCTCTGCATACACTGAACTGCGCATGCATTTATATTCTGGCACACAGCAAATGTGTCAGGATGACGTTACTCCTGCGCATTTGTGGAAGTGAAGTCTTACGGTGATGGCCAATCAAATTGGTCAAAGACCAGCACATGGAAGGACCCAGGGAGAATATGCCAGCCAGCGACTTTGCAGGCACTGGTCCATTGGAAATAAGGTAAGTAT